CTGTGAGCAAAAGAGATAATACTTAAGAAATACAAGAATATGAACCATAAATCTGAAGGATGATATAAGAACATGAAGAGAAGCTTAAAAGTATTGTAAGAATAAATTCAAAAGTTCTAATGTATAATGAATTGCACATGGAAGTATGTGAATGGGAAACCAAATCTAGAAAGTAAAATAATAAGTTAAACTAAAAACATTACACTACCCAGTTATAATAGCATATTACAGAATTACATGAAGTCAAAGTAATCAGTATCTAATCCTATGATAAGCCTATTCTTTCTTGACATCCTAGTTCTGCTTATAAGTGCATTTGCTTGCTACTGTTAATAGAATTACAAAACTAAATTAATTCTGTTCCAATTTAATCAGTAGTCTTTCTCTCCCTTCTCAGCATAGCCGATCTCAGCATAACAATACTCTACTCTCTACTCCCACTATCGGCTACTACGATACTAGCTTTTTCTAATTCATTCCTTGCTTTCGCTCTTCTTACTAAATCCTTCTGTCTTACTATTATGACTCTCTTCTGTTTACTTCTTCTATTCTCTCTCAACTTCTTTGACTTTCTCTTCTATCTACCTATTTTCTCATACTATTTTTTCAATACGTCTAAGTGATTTTTCTTATTCTTCACTGTCTTTCTAGTGTGCCTAATATAAAATTCAAGAAGACTGGAATGTGTCTTCTCTCCTATCCTCATGTCGCTCTCCATCTCTTATTTACCTTCCCTACTTTCTCCTCTTTCTCTCTCTTCCTTCCTACCTTCTTCATTCTTCCTTCTTTCTCCTCTCTTTCCCCCTCCCTGTTCTCTCTCTTTCTACCCTACTTCTTTTGTGGCGTCAATTCCCTGCCTTGTACTTTTTTCTTTCCTCTTTCCTTCCTTCCTCCGATTCCTATTATTTCTCTTCTTCCTTCCCTTTCATATCTTCCTCTTCCTCCACCTCCTCTCTTGCCTCCTTTTTCTTCCCTGTCTCATCCTCCCTTTTTTTTAATTTCCTCCCCTTCCATTTTCTTTCCCTCTCCTCGTTTCGCTTTCCCCCTATCACTTTTTTCTCTTTCCTCCCTCCTCTCGCCTTTTCTATTTCCTCTCTTCCTTACATCGCTCTTTTTCTCAATTCCCCATTTTTTATCTGTTTGTGTTCTTTTTTTCCATCTTTCATTTCCTTAGCTCACTTCTTCTCCTCCATTCCCGCCTCTTCCTACCCTCCAATCCTCCCTCCTCTGTTTTGCTTTCCACTCTTTCTCCCTCTATTTCTCACAATTTATGCCTCCTCCTTCCTTTCTTCTTGGCTCCAATTTATTCCCTTGTTCCCAATTCCCTTTCGTTTGATAGAGAAACAAAAAACCGTCCATTACTCGTCTCTGCAGTGTCGTTTGGATGGTGTGGTTATATTTACAGTTATGTTGTATTTTCCCGACGCGTATGGATGACCGCATTCTTAACTTTACTTCCATGATACTACAAAATTTTTTCATGATGCCTTTATGCACTTGTATCTTGATACGAAACTTGCTTACATCACTACTCTGAGTATTTAACCTATTGGCATGCCCAGCACCTTTTCCTGCGTCTCTGTGAGTTCTCGCTCTATAATCACTCCTCCTCTCACACCCCCTCTTCCCCCTCCCTCTCCCCCCTATCCCCCTCCTCTCCTCCTCTCCTCCTGCCTTCCGCTCCCGGGACTGCGACTCGTTAGACGAAACCAGGAAAAGTTCTTCTGTTCCATTTGCTCGTCTTTTAGAATCAATTCCACAGTTTAGTCATTTCTTGTCGCAGGTCAGCTTCTTCTCGAAACCAATCTCTAACCCAAGCCTTTCGAGTCTTTCTTTTATTGCATTTTCTTCCCTAACATTTTTTCCTTCCCTCCTTTTACTTCTCGTTTCTTTTTTCCCACTTTTTCTTGTCTTTCTTTTTCTCACTTTCTCTCCGAATCACTTTCTCTCCGTTTCTTTCTTCCCGTCTGCCCCTTCGTTTACTCCCAATCTCTCTATCTCTCTGTCCTGCTACGATCCCTACACCAACACGAGGACTACTTGAAATCCTTTGGTCGACTGTTGTCGTCACGACAATCTATACCTCCTCCCTGCAACAGTCATCCCTTCTGCGATTTTTCCTTCCTAGCGTAACGTGCTGTCTTCGTTCTTGTGGCGGTCATCCAAACAGTTCTTGTTACCTATACCCGTCTTGTGGCCCAGTTTTAGCTTATCCTTTAGTCCCTTTATCCGATGCTTGTGTTTAACTAGTTTGAGTCTATGGACAAGCCACCCCTTTACATTCTCAGTGTAAATGCCCGATAATAATCATCAATACAAATTTGTAATATATACGCAAAACATATATCAACTATCATGATCTATACATATTAAAAACTTGCCATGCTTCGTTTTACTGAGTTGTCCAGGACTGACTACTTATTAAGCGAATCAAACTTCCATTTGACGCCTTCGTCCCTTTCCTTGTCGCCCGCAAACTCGCTCAGCGATTCGTCTCCTTATTAGCTCCTAACGATCCCTCCGACTTCTCCATGGGGCCGAGAGTGAGGTGTTTCCGAGCCCAAGGGTTAGGTGTACCCAGCTCTGCCCTCCTGCGCGATGCGTGCGATCTTAGACTAGGCTCTTTTCAGTCACCTCTTCTTTGCTTTCATGTAAACAATTTCAGTTCATGAGCTCTCAACATCCTCTCTCTCCCTCTCTCTCTTCCATCTACTCCTCACTTATCCCACGTTCTCTCTTTGCTACCATCTATTACGTACTATCTGCTTATTACACTTACACTTACTTCTCCGCTCGTCTCCGTTGTTCTCACCTTTTGCGTCTTCTGATTGCCTGTCGTTTAATGCTCCATTGCGTTATTATGCTTCTTCGTCTTACTCCAATGCACTCACATACCACACTTTCACACACACCACTCATCACCATTCCCATTCTTGATTTATGATCTCACCCTACCACACAAACACACACACCACCACCACTACACCACACACACACCCAGCACAGTGCGAGCGACACAGCACACACCACCACACCGACGACACAATCAACAAGGGCACAGGGTCACGAGAGATGATAGATAGTACTATATTATAAGCGGTTAATCACTCTCTCTGCTGAGTTTGTATATTTATATATAATTGCGTGTAGTGCTTCTCTGTGTTGTCCTCTCGGTGGTGTATCTCTTCCTCTCTTAGTCGTTTGTCTCTCTCTCGTCTCTCTCTCTCTCCCTCCATCTCTCTCTCTCTCTGCTCTCCTAGTCTCTCATCTCTCTCTCTCTCTCGTGGTTTCCCATCTTGCGTCTCTCTGCTCTCTCTCCATCTCTCTCTCTCGTCTCTCTCTCTCTCCATCTCTCTCTCTCTCTCTACTCCATCTCTCTCTCTCTCTCTCATCCATCTCTCTCCTCCTCTCCCATCTCTCCTCTCTTGCTCTCCATCTCTCTCTTCTTGTTCGTTCGTGTTTGTTCCAGTCTCGTCGTCTCGCGTCGCGTGCTCTCCATGCTCTCTCGTCTCGTCTTGTCCACTGCTCGTGCGTCGTCTGTCTCGTGTCGCATGTCTCTAGTCGTCTCTTCTCCAGTCTGTGTGCTCTGCGAGTCGTCTCTCTCCATCTCTCGTGCGTCAGTCGTCGTGTTACTGTCCCGACTTCCTTGCTCTCTTACATCTGCTGCTCTCAGCTAAAATCTTCAGTGCTCATCTCTTGCCCAATCTTCTCTCTCTCTCTTTCACTTGCGACTCTTATGAGACATTAGGTCGCTCTTTACGGTCTACTCTACTTGCTACTCTGTTTCTATCGTTTTCCTCTCATCTGTAGCATCATCAATCTCTCTCTCATCTTCTCATCTCAACTCTTCTCTCTCGTCTCACCTCTTCTCAATACTCATCCATTCTCTCTCTCTCTCTCCTCCTCCATCTCTCTCTGCTCCTCTCTCTCCATCTCTCTCTCTCTTACTCTCTCCCTCTCATCTTCCTATTCGATCTCTCTTCTCTCTCTCGCATCTTCTCTCTGCGCATGCATCTCCATCAGACTCTCTGCATCTCTCGTCTTCTCCGATCTCATCTCCTCCCTACTCGGTACCCCTAGCACTCTCTCTTCTCCTCTCCATCTCTACTCTCTCGTCTCTCTCTCTCTCACCATCTCTCTATCTTCTCATCAATCTCAGCTATCTCTTACTCTCTACATAACCTCTCTCTCCATCTGCTCACACTACGTGCTCTTCTCTCTCCCATGAGTCTCTCATTCGATCTTCTCTGCTCTTCGTCCATCGTCTCTCTACTCTCTCGCTCTATTACCACATCTCTCTCTGCTCTACACAGATCTCTCTCTCTCTCCCATCTCTCTCTCTACATTCTCTCTTCTCCTCATGTCCATACTCTACTTACTCTCTCTCTCTCTACCCCATGCTCCCATCTCTTCTCATCTACTACTTCTAGATGCTAACACTCCATCTGCTCTCTCTCGCGCGTCGCTCGATTCCTCTCTCTCTCGTCTCTCTCCATCCTCTCTCTCTCTCTCTCTCCATCTACTCTCCTCTCTCTCTCTCCATCACTCTCTCTCTCTCTCTCTCCATCTCTCTCTCTCGTCTCTCTCCATCTCTCTCTCTCGCTCTCTCTGCCAAACCCTCTCTCTCTCTCCTCCTCTCTCTCTGCTCTCCATCCTCCTCTCCCTGCTCTCTCCATCTCTCTCTCCTCTCGTCATCTCTCTCTCTCTCTAAATCTCTCTCGATCCATCTCTACCCTCTTACTCCCATCATCCCTCTCTCTCTCTCATCTCTCGTCTCTCGTCTCCCCTTCTCTCTCTCTCTCATCTCTCTCTCTCTCTCCTCTACCCTAATCTCCCTATCTTCCATCTCTCATCTCCCAATCCTCTCATATCTCTCTCTCCACTCTCACTCTCATCTTCCATCATATCTTCTCTTCTCTATCGCCTCATATCTCCCTAGATGCTCTCTCTCCATCTCTCCTAATCCACACGGTCAGCACACATCACCTACACCAACTCAT